TTGACCTTGAGGTCTTGCAGGCCTCCAACTAGACCCCACTGTTGTTTTTCCAGAAGAGAGAATAGTGAGAAACAGAACAACTAAGCATTTATTCAGAATTCCTCCCATCCCATTTCTATTCAGTGGAAGATGGGTGCTTATGATGAAGTTTAGATCAGTTATGGAAACTAGAGTTATTGCATGTTTTATGCAATCTAGATTATAGCACCGTACAGAAAATTTATGACTTCAATATCCCACTGCTTATTGCACCACCATTAGCACTCCTGACCCCCATCACAATCCTGAAAGGTCTGAATTAAGTGAACACAGGTCTGTCTGGCAAAGTCCATGGTCTTTCCACCATTGCATCACAATTTTGTTACACACCCCATCAGACACCTTTACATTGCTGTTTGGCAAATTTATCAATGAAACAAGAATATGAAGTCTGGGTACATAAATAAAACTTTCAGGACACTACAAGGTTGGCTTAATAAATGAATGCCCCATTTTTTTAAATAAAAATTTTATATGAAAAATGTCAGTAGCATTTTGTAAATAGATCTCAGGCGAAGTGCCATGAGGCTCTGTCCTTGATGCTGTCTTGTTATTGGTGATCTGTCTGGAGCTAACTAGAATCTGGGAGAAAGATAACTAATATACTATGATAGATGCCAGCATAAAAGTTCAAAATGGTGTTGACAGGGTAAAATATTGTTTTGAAAACAATAATAAATTTGATTTTTTGAACAATTTCAGGAGCCCAGGGTAAGGGGAACTTGATAAGGCATCAGTTCATGTGAAGAAGTCATGGAAGATTCAGTGGATCGCAAACACAGTTTGACCAATAATGCTATGAAGTTATTAAAACACATTCTCTCTCTCTCTCTCTCTCTCACACACACACACACACACACACACACGCACACACACACTAATCAAACCCAGTGCCCTGTTAGATTGCATCAATCAAAGTCATCAAAATCTGGAAATCGGTTTAAAGATAATCCAATCCTGACCTGACTATGAGAATACGGATCAATGAGTAAGACTATAGGGTGCAATCTAGAAAAGTCTCAGCTGCACTTTGGGCTGGTCAGTTGATAGTGGGCACCGGTTTGCTTAACTTTGGGCTGTACTCTTTGAGAGAAGTACTAACAGATGTCAAAAGCACTAGACTGTGCAGAGTGCTGAGGGATCTGGCCACTGAGTTATTCCCATACTGAGGGGAATTGAGGCTGTTTCATCTGTAGAAAAGAAGAGGCAAATAGTAAAAGAATACATATAATCATTTGCAAATAAACAATTAGTGGATGTCTTTAGGGCTAAATAGCACAAGAAAGGTGAAAGAAGCATGAAAACAAGAGAAGGAAAAAGGTTCTCCAAAAGCTAGACCACAATGAATAGCCTGGACTTGCCTTCTATGTCCTCACTCTAGTGAAGGAACCAATGAAAATAAATTATAACCATACATTGTGGCCAGTGTTCTCAGATGAGGAACAAGGTGCTTTGAGAACACAGAGGAGGACTGCATATGTTGTCTAGGATACGTTTCCCCCATCCCTTCCCTTTTACCTGGAACTCTCATGCTCATTCTTCAGGATCTAACCATAGATGTCTCCTCTTTGAAGAAACCTAGCACAGTCTCTGGTACATAGTAGGTGCTTAATAAATATGTGTGTGTGTTTATTTTCATTTATTTTTATAATAGTATTGTTTTGTTATTAATAATAGTTCAATGTTTTCTCAATTTACACAAAAAATAGATATATATTATAACAAGTGAGTCAATGCATATTACAAACTAATAGGACATTATGATTATATTTTAGTAAAAGCAAACAAGTAAGCAAAACCTTTTTATATGTGTGTTAATTATTGTATATATTTGTATAAGCAAAGAGAAAAAGTATAGAAGAATATACACGAGGCTCTTAACAGGGAGCAAATGATCAGCTTTAGCTTTCTGCATCTTAGTGCTAATGGATATTTGTGGAATGGATGAATAAGCTCTGCTAATAATGATTAAATGGGTTGGCCTGTGAGGTAGTGAGCATCTACTGACCCTAGAGGACTGAGTGAATACCATCTCCTGCTCAAATCACACACCCGGCTGTTTGCATTTTATTTTAGCTACATTTTGACATCTGGTCAACCTAGATGGTTTCATAAGTGAATTAAAAACCAAGAGAGCATAAATAATCAATTCCTGTTCTGTATCCAACATGCTTAATAGATTATTATGCCATAATTTCCTCTTCTGCAAATTAAGAATAATAGACTTTCTGTAAGGATAACACAATTAGACTGGTTTAAAAGGCACTTACGTTCATAAAGTACTAAAGAGTTGCTGAGTACAAGTGAAAGCCCTCTTAATTTTTCTTTTGTAACATCCATGCCAACTGATTATGCTACAGAAAAATTTGTACATTGTAAAACACTGCTATGATCTACTTTAAAATTAAATCTATAACCCTTGAAATTCACATAACCCTTGAAATTCAGCCACTGTCCACTCTCCACTCTGATGGAGGGAAAAGCCAAATACCAGGCTATTCCTAAAATAGAAGCTTTTTCATGAGTTTGCATTGTGGCTAGACTGTCTTTGGGCTCCTTATAAACCTTGCTTGAGTCATTAGGGCAATTTGACGATCAACTTGACATTCAAGAGAAACTTCACAGGGATGTAGCCCAAGCCCACATTTTACTATGGGCTCATACAACTTGGCCAAGTAAGGGCTAGGCTGTATCTGAGATGGTCTTTGGGGGCGAGGGAAAGGCAAGTGTTTTCTGAAGCCAAATAGATTCTGTAGGGTATTTTGCACAAGGACCACATTTACACTATTTCCCACTTCTCTCTAATAGCAGAGCATAGAGGTAGCCTTAGTTCTATGATTCTATGGTGGCCTTCTTTCCTCCTGTCTTTAGTTCCTGACTGGCCTGCATTCACTGATACTCAGCTTATGCTCATTGGCCATTTCCTCCAGGCAAGAAGTCAATGAAGTAGAAAGGAAGGTTAGGAGATACCCAAGTGCCTTCCCTTTACTTTCCATTTACACCTGTCTTTTCTCAACAGTGCCACCGCAATCATCAAACTGTGCAGTCTTCATAATAAGCTTTGTCTTGATTCAGTTTTTAACCTATAAAATGGAGGTAATGATGATACCTAACTTAGATGATTGTTTTGTAGATTGAATGAGATAAGTAATCTGTTAATAAAATGCTTAGAACATTGCCTTGAAGAGCAATCACTCATGAAATGGTAGCTATAATTGATACTAGCAGTATTAATATTATTCAGTTATCATCCCACGTTTATTTTGTCTTAATGAGGACAGAATATATTGAGTATTAACAGATGTAAAGAAATGTAAAAGTAAGAAACAATTAATCAGCCTTATAGCTGTGTTAAAGAAAACCTCACAAGAAGCCCAAATTTTCCTCTCTATTCATATGCACTAGTCATACAAGGAGTTACTCAATTAGCTGCATCACTAGAAACCTGAAGTGGTGTGATAGCCTGGCCTTGTTATTCATGTGGGCAGAACTCTTTAACACATTCTCTCAGATTGGCAAAAGCATCATTTTCTCTTTCTCATCTCTTCCTGTTCCCCTCTCATGTATACTTATCCTCCATTACTGAAATTATCAAGCTTTTCCAAGCACAGGCTTAGACACACAAACCCAGCTCTGAAAGTCACAGGCCAAGATGGAGACAGTTCAGCTCCCCCCGCCCCAGACTATTGAGACCTGAGATGGATTGTAAAAGGCTAGAACTTGGCTAGAGAGCTGCCTTGTATCACTTGGACTGCTTACATATTTAAACAGCCCCTTTTGGCAGCTACAAGGGCTGCAAACTTTGCCCAGAAAAAAAAAAAATAGAGAAGATAATTACTGGATTTCATAGTGTTCTAAAATGGCTGGTATGAACTTAAAACTTAAATTCTGATTTTAGTTTACTCTCTTAAGCAGATATATTGTTTATTTAACCAGGGACAATAGTTAAGGGTATATATGCATTTCTAAGAATTTTTCTGAGTATATTATCAGTACCAGATACTTACTGATGTTTATACCATAAAACCTGATTACATTATCAAAGTCATCTCTTTTACAATTGCTCTACTAATGACTTGAAATAATAATTGAATACAGTCAACAAATTTGCTTATAAAGTAATGCATAAAATTAAGAGCAGTTGAGCTATAGAATAAGTTAGATGGGGGAAGGGCCAAATAATTCTTGAGCATGGTGGCTTATGACATTTCATTCCCTGCAGTCAGTTGACACCATATGTTCATTAGCGTATGTCCAGATGCCAGAAATGTAGGTATCCATTCATTGTTTTATGTTTAGTTGACACATTTCCCTTATTGTACTTAAGTATTTTATTGTCCTAATCCTGGCTGATAAAATGTAGTTAAAGTAATTTCACAACTTCATTTAACAACATGAAAGCAACCTTGGCATTACATTGAATCTTAAATTCTTTCTTCAAAGTAACATCTGTTTGGTAGAAATCTATTCCATTTTATTTTGTCTAGTTATATTCACAGTCCTGGTTTTTATGAAGTATGCATCCTCTAAATATGGCATACACAAATGGAAACATTAAAAACACTTAAACACTTCATGAGTTTTCCCCCTTCTAACAATGTTGTTGAGGTTGATCTAAAATGAAAATTCAGATAAAATAAGAATGGATATAGTAAGAATAAAAAGAATAAAAGACAATTGGACTATCTGTGCTTGGTGTTTCTAGATGATTAATAATCTTATATTAAGAATTGGCCATTTGTAACAGATTGCCATATAAGGTAAGTAAAATGAAACAATTACTACTCTTGAATTCTGCTTTTAAGAAACTTATTTCAAAAACTTCGTAAACTCCAGTTAATGATTTGAACCATACAGCCATATGTATGTCTACAAATATATGTTTGTATGTACACATGATATTCTATGCTAATAAAGGAAATGCCTTCATCAAAAGTCATGTTTTTTATTTAACATTTCAGATGTATATTACCAACACAATCAAAGCCAAGGGAACCAGACTTGCTAAGCCAGTTCTATGCTTGGGCTTAATGTGTTTGGCATTTCTTACTGGACTCAACAGAGTAGCAGAATATCGAAATCATTGGTCAGACGTTATAGCAGGCTTTCTGGTTGGAATATCTATAGCAGTATTTCTGGTAAGTACAAATTTCTGTATATATCATTGGGTTTTTAATTAACTTGCATAATCACCTATGAGAAAATACAAGTGTGAATCACTGGGTTTGTCTAAATGTAGTATATCAAACAAGTCATTCATTTAAGTCATTCATTTCTTCCTCCTCCCCCATTTGTTCTGCCACAAGTCGGGTTTGGGGATGAAAAAAATACAAATCCTACACTTAAAGTTGAACAATATATTTTCATATAAAAGAGAACTGGCCTAAAAACACACTGTTCCTCCCAAATAGTTTTTAAGACTGGGGTAAAAACTGCCTATAATATTTTTTAAGGATTTATGACAAACTTTATATAAATCTTTAAAAATGTTTCAGGACTGGTTTGGATATTTTTAAAAAATTCCTCAGGGAAGTTGGCATCATGTGGTATGGAGAGCATCCCAAAGTCCCCTAGTGCCTCCCTGCTGTACTCTCCCTGAGCCTCCATGTCCCAGTGCTTTCTAACAGGTCAACCTCACCTGTGAGATGAGGCGTTTTACGTCAGTAACTGAAAACTCATGAATAGTTTCCAAGACCGTACCTTGTCAAGTCATATTTCACCACACAGTAAACAGCATATACAGTGACTTATGAAGTAAGCATTCCATTTATACTCTTATTATGAAATCTTCTAGGAATATCTCCATAGGTTTTGGTTGTTAGAAAATGTATTTTAGTCTGACTTTAGAATTCATCATTATTTATTTAACGAGAGGCAATAGTCAAGGGTGTATATGCATTTCTAAGTATTTTTCTGACTTATTATCAGTACCAAATACTTACTGATGTTTATACCATAAATTCTGATTATACTATTAGATTATACTATTAAAGTGTAGTATAATCATGAGTATATAACATTTTATAAGTATGTGATAAACAGCCCGAACTTCCCTCTATACTCATGTGCACTAGTCATTATGAGTATAGCACATTTTACACAAATGAAACAATGTGTAGACTATGAATCAAACATATTTTTGCATTGACACATAATAATTTTAAAAGTACTTTATGTCCATTTTGATTACATTTAAATTGCCCTTACATGTAACTTTACTTTGTTAGCCTCATTTTACTAGTTAATAATCAGTAAGCAAACACTTCAGTGAATCTTTCCAGCTACCAAATGCTGAAACATAATTTATGTACTGGGCATTTTAAATAAGTTATTTCCTCTAGAATCTCCTGTAGTAAAGTAGTCACCATGACCTCATCTCTGTACTGCATCCTGTGCTTCTTTTTGATACCACTCTCTGTGATTCCCAAGGTCCCTGGGAGACGTAGACTCAACCTTCTCTCATTCCTGGAAGTATCCTCTAGCCTCATGAAAACCGGAGCCCTGGCTTGAACCAAAACCTTTTTTTTTTTTTCATTCACTCACACAGTTGAAACTGGTTAACATTCAGAAAGCAAAACCAACAACAAACTTTACATAAATCCTTACAAAAATATTATAGGCAAAGCCAAGAGCATACACGTAGCCAAAATTTCAAAGCAGTAATGTCAGATGCAACTGTGTTTCAGCTCTGCGGGTCCATAACATATTCACTGGCATTTCATCAGCCTTCTTGTTTATCTGTGGCTATTGCCACCTTCCCTATACTTCCAGTGAACACCTTACCTTACAAGGCCAACACCAGAATGCTGGTGCCTTCCAAGTCGCTTCCCTGTCTGGTGAATGTTGAGCTGAGTTCTGGATCCCCCTTGAGCTCAAGACCCTCCAATTGCACATGTTGAGAACATTCCATGATAGCCCCTTGAACATTCCCGTTCTCCCAGGAAAATGATTGCATGAAAAGATTATATGTAAATAATGCCTATATAATGACTAAAAATGCATTTATGCATTCATTCACAACCATTTATGAATGTGAATGCCTATAGGTATGTTTAAATGTGGCTAAATAACAGCCTCCCTAAAGGATCATTATAAGGCTCTATAAAGGTTAAACAAAATAGTACGAGTTCAGCGAATGACTACATGAATGACTGGAAAAAGTTTCATAAACTATAGTTTGCTTCCTCTCAGTCCCTTTTGCCCTATGTGAGATTTGTGTTTTGAAAATATATTTGCAGGACGATAAGACAAAGTTGAGGATAGAAGAGATGGGTTATGCAGCACCAGGGAAACAGGATGGTGCAGATTGGTCCTCAGTGGCACAAAGAGGGAGGATATCCATCATGTCCTCCAGAATATTTAGGAGGTGGAATGGTTTGGAGCCTGGTGGAACATGGAAGGTGATATGGACGAGGCACAGGGAGCCTTCTATGATGATTCCCAATTTTCTCATTTGGGAAACTCAACACGTTTATTTTGAGCAGTAACTCCAGCTCTGGCCTGTAATATGTTGTAATATCCTAGGGTGTTTCCAATTATCTTGCAGTGTGTGCAGAATTCTAAAGTGATTCCAAAATAAAATTAATGCTAATCTACTCCAGATCTCTGTCTTGGTTAAAGGAACCCAGAATACCCAGTCACCCAGACTCCATGCCTAACATTTGCCTTTGGCTCATTCTCCTGTTTCATTCCACACACCAGTGATTCATTTAGGCCAGGCTCATTTCCACTATAAAAATATTTCTTCCATGTCTTGTGTCTTTGCTCTCTGACCATACCTTTTGAATTGTAGACATTATTGCTGCTTACTAAAATAGTGAGGCCTTCCCTGAACCATGTTTAAAATGACTACTTCTCCTTGAGGATTCCTTTCCTCATTCCCTACTTTACTTTTCTACATAGGATGTTTCAGCCTTTGATATGTAATATTAATTAATGTGTAATAAATTAGTGTGCAATATACCATATGAAACATTTTTGGTTTTGCTTTCCTATCAATCCCACTAGAATGTAAGCTCCTTGTGAAGTTTGTTTGTTTGTTTTGTTCACTGCGTATTCCCAGTAACTAGAACAAGGTCTGATACAGAGGAAGTACTGAATAAATGTATGATGAATGAATTAATACATGAAAGAATGAATAAAGAATGTTTTATTTACTTCCCAGAATTCTTTTAAGGATTAAGTGAAATCCCACATGTAAGAAGTGCAGCCTAGTGCAGACAAGACATTGAATACCACAGTCTCCACGTTTGATGACTATATTCAAACCCTTTAGACACTTGAGATTTGTCTCAGACAAAATCCAGTTTCCCCAGGAAGCTTCCCTGATTGGCTGATTTTTCCATTTTTTCCTGCATTTCTACCACTCTTTGAGTCTGTCCTCTTATAATTTAATAAGGAATTAATGCTGTGTTAATTGTATTACTCTTATCTCATGGGCATTTTGTTTCAGGTTAGACAGCAGAATCACGATACTTAGCAAAATACAAAACAAATACTAGTTGAACAATATTTGTAGATTGATTATGATATATATGACAGTGTCAGGCAGACTAGCTCAAGTTTATTGAGCCGCAACAATAGCTTGTCATGTTATCATATATAACAGTAACAATAATAGCTATTGTGCTCTTTACTACATTATTGCAATTAACCCTCAGAACGGCTCAGTGAAATGTTTTTATTGTCTTCATTTTGCAGGTTTAAAAAAAATTGAAGCCTGATTATATGAAGTAACTTGCCCATGTTCACAAAGCTAGTAACTGAGAGATCCAGGATTATGATCCAGACCAGTTTGACCCCAAAGCCCATGCACTTAACCCCATACAATAATGATGTTTCATTTACCACAAAGAGTGAAAATGAACAAGAATGGATCAGATTAAGTAATCATCACGACAGGAAAAAGAAAATATATATATAGTGATGATTTACTCATATCATCTTGGTAGGAGAGAATAGAATTACAAGAATTATACATGTGGAAGTCACTCATGTAAAAACAGAATGTCTGAAAGCAGAGTAACGTTAAATTGTATAAGCACATCAGAAAATTTGACAACTTCTGTCCTAGATGCTTGCTCATTCATTAATCTGATCCTTCACTGTGACAGTAGGAACACAGCGGTGAGCAAAAAAGAACATCTCTGCATTTGTGGAACTTGGAAGAGACACATCAATCAAAGTATTACTTTAAATGATGTTTAATTTCATACTAAGTGCTCTGATAAAAAGAATCACAGCTCCATGTGAGCAAAAAGCAAACAAACAAAAACAAAATAAACCGTCCTAGCTAGGAGTTCAAGGAAGGCATGCATGAGGAAGTGAAACTGAGATGAGATATCACGGCTGAGTTAGATATGGCATCTAAAGACAGTGAAGGTGAGGAGTATCCACACAGCTGGAAATGAAAGCTAACAGAAAGTGTTTTGAAAACAGAGAAGGAAGGCTGTAAAAGTGGGCCTGGGCCAGAGTTTACACATTAAGAAATATGGAAAGCCAAGCCATGAATGGCGTTAAGGGGGTAACACAATCCAGTTTGCATTTGGAAAGATCATTCTCACATTATGGTGGAAATAGAGGGGCCAAGATTAGATTTAGAGAGAGAGTTTATGAAGCTGTGTAGGTATCCAGGCAACAGGTGGTAGTTGCTTAGTTTTTGGAGTTGGTGGAGGAGATAAAATGAAGAAAATATAAGAAATCAAGATACTTAGATATCAAGATATTTAGAAAGTGACATTGAGCAAATTCAGTAACTGGTCATATGTAAGAGGTGTAAAGGATTAATTCAAGTTTTTAGCCTTGTACAGCTGCATTGGGGTGGAGGTGGGTGTTGAGGGATGGGGTGGCATGTTGCCTTCCCTTGAAAGTGTCCAGAGAAAAGATCAAGTTTGGAGTGGGTGCTGGAGGGGACAGATCTTGAGTTTAGTTTTGAGTAGTTGTTGAATTGTCATACCTTTGCCAGACAAAGAAATGAAGTTAATTTAGTGATCTATTGCAACCTTTTCACTTTCAAATTGATAAAACTGAGACCCAGAGAACTGTCTGAGAACGCATAGACTCAGGCATGCTCAAGATCAAACACCAAGTCCCTCACTTTTTCTTATCACCATTTTTACAAACAGGACATCTGTTCCATACTTGTAAATGTTAGCAGACAAGACTTCTTAAATATTGGGAGTCTAACTCTACAGAGAATTAGGTAATTTATTTCCCGATAATTAAAATACTAAGAATAAGAAGAATAATCATGATGCTAGTAGATACAATTTGATAAGTATCTGCTGTGGGTTAGTCACTTAAGTATTTTATATGCAAATGCCTAGCTGCTCAGTGGAATTACCTTGATCCTTAATTAAGGCAAAGAGATAACCAATACATCGTTTCAAAGAGTTTCCAAAACCTACATAATATAAAATAATTATCATTCCAGAAGCCCATATTGTCTCTAGATAAACTTTTATCACATGAGATCCATATATCTATGTACAGTTATTTCATTGTTAACAAATTTTACTTCAAAATAATTATCAATGTTACTCATCTTCCCAATTTTCCAATAATTTCTAATACTAGTGAAAAGGGAAATATGTGTATATGTGTATGTATTTCATGGAATGGGTGTGAAACTGCTTATTTGTTTCATTGTTGTTATTGTTGGCTAAAATTCTTGACTATATCCTTTGTATTTTAGAGCAGTGGTCAGTCAGCCAACTGCAGCCCACAGACCCAAATATGATCTGCTGCCCATCTTTGTAAATAAAGTTATTTTTGAATATTGACACTCCCATTTGTTTATGAACTGTCAGTGGCTACTTTTGCACCAAAAAGGCAGTTGAACAGTTGCAGCAAAGGTTGTAAGGCTGCAAAGCCAAAAATATTTACTATCTTCCTTTAACACGAAAAATTTGCTTACTTTATCTCTAGAGTAATCAGTATCTGTTCGACCTTTGTGGGGTCATGAAGCTGGTAACATCATGAGGTAGTAGTTTTATCAAGTACCCATCTCTAAGCCTTTACTGTCCCTTGCTTTAAAGATCTTTAAAGTGGCAACTGCAAAGTTGAGGTATCAAATTACCAGGCTTTTGTTTGTTTGAGACGGAGTCTTTGCTCTGTCACCCAGGCTGGAGTGCAGTGGCGCGAACTCGGCTCACTACAAGCTCCGCCTCCTGGGTTTACGCCATTCTCCTGCCTCAGCCTCCCGAGTAGCTGGGACTACAGGCGCCCGCCACCTCCCCGGCTAGTTTTTTGTACTTTTAGTAGAGACGGGGTTTCACCGTGTTCGCCAGGATGGTCTCGGCCTCCCAAAGTGCTGGGATTACAGGCGTGAGCCACCGCGCCCGGCCTAAATTACCAGGATTTGATCTATGTTTCTAATCTGTAGTTCTTCTGGGAAGTGGAAGGATAAGAAGTCTATAACAGTTTGCAAAGAAGTATTTTTCTGACATAAAGTCTCAGTACACGTTATTATTTTATGGATTTGTAAATTTTATTTAAAAACTGGAAAGCAACCAAGATCTAATTGGCCTTTGAAGATATTCAGTAATGAATTCTACTAACGAAAAGGCTTTTCAGTGTAACATTTATGAAAATATGAAACGTAAATGTATAATTATATATTCAGTACTTACGTTACAAAATGAACGTTAGGTTATAGCTGCAAGTAAGTCCTGTATTTTGATTTGTAATAGAATATGAAGCACAGAAAATAAAACTCAAGAATACCTTTCCCAAGAATACCTTGTTTATTGTATAAGCAAACAGTAGCAAATAATTTTCCAGGTATGTTTAATTCATTATTTCTTAAATATGATTCACCTGCATTAGAAGCTTCTTGAATGTATTTTTGAAGTGCTAACTCCTAGGCCCCATTCTTCATTTACTAAATCAGAATCTTTAGGGGAGGGCTTCAGAGTATGCATCTTTAACAATGCCAAAAATGTATTTTTATGCACATTAAGTATGAGAACCTCTGGTTTAGTGCAAATTCTGTCACCTGTGAGATATAATCCATTGAAACAAGGGTCAATTTTCTTTATGTAGAGGGTTTTCTATTTCAGTGGTAGCCCCAGTAAGCTATTGTTGGTATGCCAGGTATATATGGGACACAATAATAGACGACAAACTAGGTTAATTAAGGGATGCTGCTAAATTAGAGAGTGCCAATTGTAAAAGGTTTATTATGAATATAATGATACTGAAGCAATGAAAAATAATTAGCATTTAAATTAAGTTGTAGGTTAGCCATATTAGGAAAAGGTTAGCTTGCTATGCGTTTTTATAAGGTTAGTGTTATGATCGATTTGAGCATTGACTATACTTTAATGAAAATTTTTGAATAGTAAAATTGTCATAATTGAGTGAGCTACATATTAACTGTGAGTTTTCTTAAACATCTGCATTGGAGCAGCTATTAAAATTTATACAATAAACTTTACAATAAATGTATATGATAAATCGGTATAAATTCATACACATGTAACATTTAAGTAACTTTAATACTTTCTTAGATGTTTAGATTTATTAAGCTCCTCAAAAGGGTGAAAGTCACAGTGAGCACAGTTTGCTTTAACTGTAATTGTTTTCTGAAATTTTAGGTTGTGTGCGTGGTAAATAATTTCAAAGGAAGACAAGCAGAAAATGAGCATATACACATGGATAATCTGGCACAGATGCCAACAATCAGCATTCCTCGAGTAGAAAGTCCTTTGGAAAAGGTAACATCTGTACAGGTGATTCACAATTTAAATTCGAAACTATAATATCTAGAGCAAATGAATCATCATTCCTGTATGTATATCTGGAGCATGTCCACACAGTTTATGTTGATTTACTTAGCCTCAGAGTGTAATATAGCAAGAATTTAGTTACTAAAGAGATAATAATAGAAAAATATATATCACATTTAAAAAATCTGTAGGCTGGTCACAGTGGCTCACACCTGGCCTGTAATCAATCCCAGCTCTTTGGGAGGCCAAGGCGGACAGATCACTTGAGACCAGGAGTTCAAGACCGGCCTGGCCAACGTGGAGAAACCTCATCTCTACCAAAAAAATACAAAAATTAGCTGGGCGTGGTGGCATGCACCTGTAGTCCCAGCTACTTGGGAGGCTGAGGCACCAGAATCACTTGAACCTGGGAAGCAAAGGTTGCAATGAGCCAAGATCATGCCACTGCAGTCCAGCTTAGGCAACAGAGTGAGACTGTATCAAAAAATAAAATATGTGTTTGTCTTCCTCATGCTAAAAGGTGAGGAGTACCTGTATGTGAAATCTATTTAGTACTTTGCCGTAGTTTCCAAATAAGGAACATTGTGTACTGGTCTCACACATAGGAAAAATAAAATAGTTTTCCTTGAGGATATATTGCATTTTTTACAAAATATATTCCGTATCTTCCATGTTCCATTTATAGGAGAAAGTGCTCAGCACAATGCCTGGCCCACATTCACAATTCAATAAAGATTTGTTGAATCTCAGTGCACAAAGGTCTGACATCAGGAAAACACCAGTCATGCTCTTCTAATGAGGGAGATTCTGAGACTCCATTGGGCTGAATGCAGCCAGATAGTAGCACTTGGCCTGGTCGGCCAAGGCCTCATTGGGCATAGCAGTGAGCACAGAAACCAAGTATTTGACAGAAACTTTTCTTGAGACTTTTGGAAGGACCACATAGGATAGTATTTCCTAAATGTTGGTGCAGTTATGTGCATTTGTAACTAGTTAAATGATTGCTCTGAGGTATACTAGTGGCTTCTCTTCAGTCCTGTTCACTTCCACTTTGGTCAGTATCTTAGCTGAAGAGTCAGTTACACACTAATCAGGTGTTCAGATTGTGTGTATCTGTGAAAGATAATTAACATATTCAACGAAAGAATAAAAATTCTTCAGTGACTGCAATGAGATGCAATTCATATTTAACTAGAAATAAAGGAAACATTTCGTATTTGGATTTTTTTTAAAACTTCATGTGTAAAGTAGGGTACATCTAGGTTAATTGCACAAATGAAAAAGGCTTGGGGTGTAACAGGCACCAAGTCAACATGTGTCAACAGTATGATAGGACTACCAAAAGAGTTAAATGGTCTTAAGGCCCACTTGGGGAAAATGATACCCTGAATGAGGGGGTTGATGGTGTGCACTGCTAGGCTCTGGTCAGACCAACTTTGAATAGTGTGTACTGATCTTGACAACGCAGTTTTAAAGTGGGCATTGATAAAATAGTTGATACTCAATAAATATTTGTTAAATGAGTGAATGAATTTCTTTGGGATGTACTCAACATCATGGATTATGAGGGACTGTTGGAGGAACAAAAAAAAGTGCTTAAAGAAAACTCATGAAAGAAGCAATAGCTTCCCATAAGAATCTGAAGGACTCTTGTATGACAGAGGGGTGAGATTTGTTCTGGAGGGTGTCCGAGATCACAATTAGGACAAAGCAAAGTGAGTGTAAGAAGATAAATAATGGCTAGAAAGAAGAAAAAACTCTGAAAATGAAATGGCTACCTTAAGAGAGATAAAATTTCCTTTTACTATAGGAATTCCAGAATAGCTAAATAATTACTTGTCCATGATACTTTGGAGAGAATTCAAGCATTCAGGTAAGGATAGAAGTATTTAATAATAATAATATACTAACACTAATAATGACTACCATTTAATGATCATCAGTATGTGTCAAGTCCTGTGCTGACGGTTTATATAAATCCCACCAAATACTTCTATGCTCTACAAATACAATTTCAGTACTCACAGCAATTTTTAAACACGATCCTCATTAAAATGGTAAGAACTGCTAATACTCAGTATTCCTTCTCCCCTTCTTCCTTTTAATAATTGAATCCCCTAATTTTAGCTATATTCATGACTGCCCAGCTACAATCTATGTTTCCCAGCTTCCCTTGCAGTTAGGTGTAACCATGAGACCAAGTTTAGACAAATGGAATGTGAGCAGAAGGAATAAGTTCAACCTCTGATTTATCTCTTTGAAGACTCTTGCCCTGGACATTCTCTACCCTTTCTCACCAAATGAAAAAGGTATGACTGGAGCAACCTTGGAAATCCCTTTGTAAGATGATCAATCTATCCTGCTAACCTGGGTCCCTGGATGAGCTTATGGAACAGATTTCACCCAGCCTAGATGGTTCTGAGAAAGAAGTGAACTACTTTCTCCTCTCAGCCATTAAATTGTTCTAATTTCTTTTCTATAGTGACTTAGCTGATATCCTATTACAATGCATATTCCCATTTTACAGTTAAGAAAACTGAACTTCCAACTGGTTAAGTAATTTGCAAAAGTACAGACCATTGATAAACAGCTGAGAAAAAATATACAATGTAACGTTTTGAGACACATACCTATGTAAGAAAATGTGTTTAAAAGCTGAATAATCTGTACAAAATTAGATCTTGTTTAACTTACTAAATAAAGATTAAAAACAGTAGAATTTAGCCCAGGGATAATGGTTCATGCTTGTAATGCCAGTGCTTTGGGACGCTAAGGGGGAAGGATCCCTTAAGGTCAGGAATTCGAGACCACCCTGGGCTGTAACAATAGCGAGACTCCATTTCTACAAAAAAAAAAATTTAAAATAAAAATTAGCCAGGTGTGGTGGCATGTGCCTGTAGTCCTAGAGACTCAGGAGACTGAGATAGGATAACTGCTTGAGCCCAGGAGTTCAAGGCTGCAGTGAGCTATGATCACACCACTGTACTCCAGCCTGAGCAACAGATAGAGACCCCATCTCTGACCCCATCTCTAAAAAATAAGGGTTGTGAAATATAGGAAGAGATCTTAGACATATTTTGAATAATATGGTCAGGGTAACTATTACAACCTTTTCATTTTGTATACGTCTGAAATTAACTTCAGTAGTAATCACTGCCTTCTACCTTTTAACATTTATTTGCATGAATGTTCTTTGGTAGCTTTCTAGCATTGCCAAATATTCATATATATCATTACATCATTATATCTATTAAATTATTTAAAAGGTTCTTGTCAATGTTATGCTAGTTCATTTTTATTTATAGGGAGCTTTGAAATATTTGATAGTAAAAGCAAAAATATTCTATTCATGTATAAATTGTTAGAGATGAGTATTCGTTAATATATGTATTCATGTACATATTAGGTTAAGTGGCATGTTTCTTTTATTAATTTTTTGGTTCATAACAAATTTATGCGCTCTGTTTTCACTCCGGTAGGTAGGAAATAAAAATGGTTTGAATCTGATTCGGTTCTCCCCTTACTCATTATAGTACATTGGCACCACACCCTGCTGAGCTCCAGCTTTACTCTCCCATCTTTGTATTCCTGTTCCCAGGCAGGATGCTGTCTGCACAGTGCAAGTTCTGCCCCCTGCACTCACAGAGCATGGGATGATCACAAGGCCAGGTGCTGAGAATACATCTCAGGCATGCCTTTGGAACCGTGCTGCTGAGAGGACATGTATTTGTGTTCATCAGGCAGAAAGGGAGGAAAGCTACCATTTAAGGGAAGCCTATAATAGCTTTCTCTTTTTGTGTGTGATAAGGAGCATTTGGGATAAATACACAGCAGGTCTTCGAATGACATCATTTCATTCAATATCATTTCTTTCTAACACCGATGAGAGAAAACAAACACACACACACACACACACACACACACACACACACACTCTAGCTATGGCTGCTGTCTGGAGTTTGCACATTCTCCCCATGTCTGCTTGGCTTTTCTACCCTGTTTTTCTCCCACCTCCCAAAGACTACCTATTAGGTGAAGTAGCATGCTTAAATGGTCCCAGTGTGGGTGAATGTGATGTGTGTGTGTTAGTGCACCTGCTGTGGGATGGCATCCTGTCCAGGGCTGGTTACTGCCTTAGCCCTGAGCTGCTATGCTAGGTTCTGGCCACATGCTACCCTGAACCAAAATAATTGGGCAGATAATTATCATGCTTGTTTCTATTAATCTTTCTTAAATGTATGTATGTATAATCACATTTATTCCAGTGTTTTATATTAGAACCATTTTGGTCTTTATTTAGAAGTTTGGTGATGTCTTTGTGACCAGAAATATGCCATAGAAACTTAATTCCTGCTTATATCAATTAGCCTATGGTCAAATTGGTTTCATTATACTTCATTCTACTTAAACTTGGTTTCCAAGAGCCTGTGAACATCACTAAGTGAGTACTCACCTTATTGCATTAATCATGGCTCATATTGGTAAACAAGTAAATGCAAAATTCTTCCCAGTACTTTGATCTTAATAATTGATAGTTGGAGAGTGGCATTAGACCTTAAAGCTGGCCCTCTGAAAAACGTAAGGGAGCCTGGTGTGAAAGTTTGGTCTGCAAGCATGACCAAGAGTTTTAGCATTATTATGCCAAGCTGTCATTTTCTGGTTGTCACTTTTGTATGGAGAAGGCAAAGGGTTTTGTTTAGAAATTATGTACTTATATAACCTTTTATGTTCAAAGTACATGTTTGACAAACTATAAGCTGCAGTGTAATTATAGCATACCAGCATTCTTTATTTTTACTCCAGCAATTTATCCCTTAATTATAGGGAGTTTTTCATATAGCTAATTACCATAGTTTATGAGGAAAAGTCCTAATTTTTCTGAAAGCCAAGTATATCTGAACATTCATTACATTTGGTTTGTGAAAATAATTAATCATCTGTGGAAACTGGCCCATTATATCCCAACGTCCACTAAATATTCAGGTTACTAGTAACTTTTGTATGACTCTTTGTCGTATTAAATCATGAAAAGCTTAAATATATATGAGTAGTGAATTATTAAATCAACGGGATCCAGTACATTGTAGTGTAGTGCTTTTGCTCTTAGGTTCTGGAGGCAAACTAGCTGAGAATTTTGGATAATTTTGAACTTAGGCAAGTCACTTAAATGCTTGGTGATTCAGTTTTCTCTTTCATAAATTGATCATTATATGAGTTCAATAAGTTAATGGTAAAGCACTTAAACCGTGTCTGGTACCAGTGAAACCCTTAATAATCATAACTACAATTATTATTATTATTTAAAAGCTAAAATGGATGAGGTAAATCAAGACATGGGAAGTTTTCCAATATATATTGGAAAGTTTTTTTTAAAAAGACTTTATATGTATATTAAATGTATATATAATAAAATCACTTATGCAAAATACCATCTATTTATCTTTAGTTGTATAGAAAGGGACATGTGGATGAGAGAGAGAGAAAAAGAAAGAAAGAAAGAAAGAAAAAAAAAAAGGAAGGAAGGAAGGAAGGAAGGAAGGAAAGAGAGAAACAGACACCAGTCAGAGCAATGCTTAAACTGAAGGAGTCAACTGAGGTTAGTGGACCATGACCTTATCCACATTTCTGACCTTTCTTTCCTTCCTTCCTCCTTCCTTCCTTCCTCCCTCCCTCCCTCCTTTCCTTCCCTCCTCCCTTCCTTCTTTCCTTCTTTCTTTTCTTCCTTCTTTTCCTTCTTCCTAAAATGAAATACTATACTATTCATGAATAAGTTTATGACTGAAAGTCATTATCTTTTTAAAAATTATTCAATTATTTAAGGTGCTGTCTGAGGAGGTTCCAGTGCTTCCTCATTGGATTGACTGCTGATATGTTCAGATAGACAAAAGGCCCTCAGAAAAACTCCCCCAGGGTAATTTAAAACCCTGTACTTCCTTAGGGCTCACACGACCTTTCTGAAAGTGTTTGGTTTAGTCTTCTCTGCCAAATTGTGTATGGAAATCTTGGGAGTATCTCTCATACCTTCATACCCAGGGTTCAGCTTTCTGTGGCACCTGCAGCCATCCCTATTTTAGGTACCAGTAGCCCTGGGGCCCTTCATGTGAGCCGTGTGCAGATGCTTGTCATTTACAGGATCTACAAACCCCCCATCCACCCAAGGACCCAGGGAGCCAAATATCCTCATGGGCCACACCACCCCTTTCTCTCAAATTCATGCTTTGCTGGCTCTAGTCTTCAATGGCCCACATATCTCAAACAAAACAAAAGCTTCGGTGTTGCTGGTTTCAGGATATCTCCAAGACACAAAGACTCTATTAATTATTCTTAGGAGTCCAAGAAACAAATGTCTGACTCTAGGAACTAGAGATGGAGACGTTTACATTTCATTACCTTTACACTCCTATATTATCAAAAATAATGTAGGAATTAATATCTTAATAGCTGTGTCACCAAGAGTGAAAACTAGATAAAGTAAAATTCTTTTGGCATTTTGACTAGATATGGTACAAATAAACCCAGTTTTAGGAAATCCTACAAAGGACAATGCCATTTTTTCTTTGCTCTTTAAGAAATACAGTGCTGTACGAGTAGCTAAAAGTCTATGCGGCCCCAATAATATCCCAAAATTCCAAAGAGTGGGAATGAGAGCGAGGAGCAATCTCTAACAGAGTAAGGAGTTCGTTTCATTTGGAGAACATCTCAACACCTTGGATCAACACCATGTTGAGACAGAATTAGCAAATAAGCAAATGCCCAAAGAAAGCTCTGAGACAAGAAGCTGTCCTCAGATTAGGCTTCTCACTATTAGGGGTTCATGCCAGATGAAGGAAAGCTTTTATGAACTGGATGGGTACCTCACACATGGATGAGGAGTTCCCTTTGTCCAGAACCAAAACCTGCCTGCAAGGATTGCACATACTCCTCGAATAGAAGTTCGACTGAACTGATCGGTAGTCTTCCTGGTTTCAACAAACATAATGAATGAAATTGTATAGAGACAAAGTGACCTTCCTGAAAATGCTCATGGTCTTAGCTTCTTCTCACAGTCCTCTCAGACTGATGATATAAAACTACATCCTCCAGCTTTTCTGCTCATGATCTAAGTAGAGGATTCCCTAGCAATTCATGGTTATCATTAAGAGATAACTGATGACTCCTTTCCCACTCATTTTAGGAAAATGAACTGAGCTAAATCTGTCCTATTTCAAGCATGAATAATCAGGATAAGAACTTAAATCCTTTCAAATGACACAGAAGAGAGAGAAAGAGATATTTTAATAGAGCATGGGGTTTTTGGGGGGGTTTTGTT